AGATGGCCGCCCTAAATCTCGTCAGCGACAATAGGTGAGAGCGGTCCATGAGGGTCTATCCTTATGTTATGTCTATGGTATTCACCCCTGGGCTCTGGAGGAATCTAATGTTTATAAGTTTGACCTCTGACCTTTTGTGTTCTGGTTCTGACCACTTTATGTTTTGAACATATTTTATCTGACAAATATTAATTTGTGTACAAATATTAATGCGAGGCGACTTCCTGTTCTGAGCAGCTCGGGTTCTGGGTCGGTCCAGTAGTTCTCCAGAATGTTCTGGTTCCTCAGAGTAAAATTGAGTGTTTCTGTTTTCCGAGCCTGGAGCGAGTCAGTGAAGCCGCCCTGACCTTTCACCCTGTTCTGTGCTAACGGTCCCCTCCTGAAGCGGACTGTTTACCCGCTCACGCTCCGGTTCGGACCCGCCGCCAGGTGAGCTCGCGGTGCCCGTTAACGGCTCGGTTCGGTCGCTTCAGCAGAACCGGGGCGGTACCGTCTGGAAGCTAACGGCTAACTGCCACAGATGGAGGAGTTTCTGCGGAGCTGCCGGCGGACCCTACAGGTACCGGAACCGTCCTCCGACCCGGTCCCGCTCAGGTTTGGCTGAAGCTGTCCAGCAGCTGCAACGGGTCGCAGCGGCTGTTTTTGTTTGATTTATTGTAATAAACCGATACGCTGGGGTCACTTCCGCCTACACAGGTCACTTTCAAAATAAAAGTCCCGGTCATGGTTTAAAAACGAACTGCGGGGATCCCAGAACCGAAAACTTCATGAACGTTTTCTTGGAGCTGCAACAGGATTCAGAGTATTTAATAAAACTAACATTAATACAAAAAGTTTATTTGCAGTATTTTGCTTCATAGAAACGTTATACAGTCAAACTAGAGTTTTTATTTATCTTGATAGATTGGTCTTATAACATTTCATTCCGTTTTGTTTTTTATTTATGTTGCTGTAAAGTTCAGTGTTTCATTCTTCTTCTGTGGTTTGCTCTAATAAGATAACTGTCCCTTTGATAAGTCACCAATAAATGCAACCAATCACCTGATCGGTCCAGGTCAGCCACACCTGGAGAATCAAGAAGTCACTTCAACGGAACCTTTAGACTGCATGAAGTAGGCCAGAAGTTTCTAAAACCCAGAGATCCCATCCGGACCAGAACCAGATTCCGGCCTGGTCCTGGTTCTGACTGCTGCGTCTCGGTTCTGCAGGAGAACCTGGACCGGGCCGGTCCAGATGTCCACGTGGTTCTGGGGAACGAAGCCTGTGATGTGGACTCCATGGTGTCGGCCATGGCCTTTGCCTACTTCCTGTTCAAGGTGAGGAGTCGCCCAATCAGCTGCCAGGCCTCAGTGAGCCGAGGTCACGCTGTGTGTGTGTGTTTGTGTGTGTGTGTTTGTGTGTGTGTGTGTGTTTGTGTGTGTGTCAGACTGCAGGCAGTGACTCGCTGGTTCTGCCCCTGATGAACATCCGGCAGTCGGACCTGGTGCTGCGGTCCGACATCGTGTTCCTGCTGCGCCGCGCTGCTCTGCCGCAACACCTGCTGCTGTTCCGGGACCAGCTGGATCTGCGGGCGCTGTGGCGCGCCGGCCGCCTGCGGCTCAGCCTGGTGGACCACAACGTCCTGCCCAGGTGAGCAGGGCCCTGAATGCCTCGCCTCCACAGCTGTGTTCTGACCCTCTCTCTCCTGCAGCTCAGATGCTGACCTGGAGGGGGCAGTAGTGGAGGTGCTTGACCACCATCAGGCTGAGAGGAAATCCTCCCCTACCTGCCCCGTTACTGTGGAGATGGTGGGATCCTGTGCTACCTTGGTAACCGAACGCATCATCAAGGAAGCTCCACAGATCCTGGACCAGCAAATCGCCCTCCTACTCTACGGTACACATCTGGATACACACCTACTGGATACACACCTACTGGATACATGCACACCTGGATACAACTGCCTGACCAGATTCTGAGGGTCTATCTGATTAGCACCTGTTCTGAACTGTGTGTGTGTGTGAGCAGCCACAGTGGTGCTGGACTGCGTCAATATGGCTGCCGCTGCAGGTAAAGTGACTCCTAAAGACAGCTGCTACGTTGCTGAGCTAGAGGCGCGATTCCCCTCTCTGCCACCAAGGGGCGCTCTGTTCCAAGAGCTGCAGAAGGCCAAGTTGGACGTCTCAGGTGAGCCTCAGTGTTAGCTAGTACTCACAGTGCTTGCTAGTACTTAGAGCAGTGTTCTGTCTGCAGGTCTGAACATGGAGCAGATGTTGTTAAAAGACATGAAAGCTGTTTCAGGAAGTTTCAACATCGCCATTCCTGTCATCTACCTCACTCTGGAGGTAACACCTGAACTGTACACACAGAAGTACCTCCAATACACAGCAGCAGTACCGTGTGTGTGCCAGCAGGGGGTCCTGTTGCAGCACTTTCCCTCCCTTGTGTTCCAGGAGCTGCTGCAGACGGCGGAGTTGGAGGAGCAGCTTTCAGCTTTCTGTCACAAGTCTGGATTTGATTTGCTGCTTATGATGACGATCTCCTTCACTGAGAGAGAGGAGCCAATCAGAGAGCTCGCTGTGTTCAGCCACAGCAGTACCTGCAGGGAGCAGGTACCTCATGTACCACACACTGGAAGTATCATAGTAGTATCGTAGTACAGGGTTTCCCCCAGAAAACTTGCTAAGCCCGGTGGTCGGGGCGTTGAGTCGGTCCACCGTGTTTTGTATTAAAAGACGTTAAGTTGACAGGAAATGTAAAAGTATTACTGTGTAATTATGTTACAGGAAAAGATCTCGAGTGAAATGCCATTTAAACCCACAACTAGTCTAAAAACAACAAATTTGCACTTCTGTTTAATCCAAATTAAGTCAGCAGCTCCGTTGGGCCCCCAAGAGCTTCAGGGGCCCCATAAACGCTAATATATTAAAACAGACCACAGATACATAAATGTAACGCTTGTTTATTGAGATGATCAATGCTGTTAAACTTTATTCAATTGTTTAGGCATACATAAATTAAATGATTTTAAATTGTTTAACATTTAAATACAAGATTTTAAGGAGCTGGCAAGTTTACTTTGTAAAACTTCAAAGAACAATATTCATAGTTAGATTGTTTCGTTACCATAGCAACTATCTGATGCTGTGAGTTTAATCTTTGAATTTACAAATACAAATTAGTAAACTGCGATTATAACTTATTGCTTTTTAGGCTGGCCAATTAAACTACTCCCTTCTCCCATATTTCACTAAATCTAACACAGAAACTGTTAGAGGTGCTGATATTTTTAGCAACAAAAGGGGCCCCTAAGTCAGATTCTGCTCAAGGCCCCATACAGCCTTGCACCGGCCCTGCATGATGAGGTAATCTGCTGCACTACCAGAGATGCACAACAAACGGGAGATTTAATTCAATGCTGCTAATGTGGCTTTAGTAGCTCTTTCATTTTGAGTTTTTAATAAGCGTCACAGAAACTATTCTGGTTGGTCGAGTTTATGGGACGAGTTTCTCAGATCTCCGTGCGGCCGCGAGTATTAAATCTAAGTAGACAACGCATTTGATATGGTTTGATGCATCGTGTAACCGGAAAAATAATAATAAAATAATATAAAATCAGCGTGATGCGTGACTCCGAGGAGAGCGCGAAAGCTCCTCATCGGGCTGAACCTGCATGATCAGGTTAGCGCTGCTCGTTATCCACAAACGCTCCGGCCAACCGGGACCACAGACAGACTTTACAGGGAAGACAGACACAGAGCCACATGCTGGGCAGCATGTTGAGATGTATAGAATTGTTCGTTCACAAAGATAAATCATTCTCACCGCTCCACAACGCACCTCTGAATTCGCTACAAGTTATTCCTGCGGTTCACGTTGAGCTGCAACCAGAGCTACGCGGCGGGTTTTAAACTCCTACCTAGAGTTCTCCAAAGGATCATAATTCCTCACAGTAGGTTGATGTAAATATCCAACAGGTCAGCCTGAGTCCAGTTTGAGTGAAAGGAGGCGCCAGCTGTGATTGGTCCGCGCTGTCGGCTTTAAATGCATAAACTATAAACCTATTATAAACCTATCCTTTAGGATAAATCTGCTCTGCTAGTGAAATGCTAAGAGCAACAGAGACGCTTGCAGCCCAGCTTTAAAAAAAAAAAATATATATATATATATATTTTTTTCCTTTCCTAGTAACGTAAACAAGCAACCCTTAGCCTGGCGGCGGGGCTAGTAAAGCATGGCGGGCCGCCAGGCTTATAATACACTGGGGGAAACCCTGTAGTAGTATCACTATGAGAACATGGTAGTTGTAGTTCTCCATCAGTACTGTTGTAGTCTCTGCTAGTTGTGGCTGCCATGCCAACCATGAGCCTTTCCTCCAGGTGAGCAGCTACCTGCAGCGGGCCCAGAGCCCCACCCTTGGCCTCAGCCCCGCCCCCTGCCCCCACCCTCTGATCTCAGCGTTCCATCAAGGTGAGGCCTTCACCTGGCTCCCCAGGCAGGGGCGGAGCTTGAGGTGGTAACATCTGTGTATGGTTGCCAGGTAACGTGCTGGCGTCCAGGAAGAAGCTCCTCCCCCTGGTCCAGGACTTCCTGAGGGAGTGTGATGGCGCTGGTTGCCTAGGAGACGCGGAGGAGGAGCCGGCGGTGCCGCCCACGCCCACGAACAGCCTGGTGGACGGCTGCCCTCTGGACGGCGGCCTGCCGCGCATCACCATTGAGGAGCTGCGGAGCAAGTTTGATAACCTCTGACCTCACCTCTGTTACCACGGCAACATCTCTGGAAAATGAAGATGCAGCATCAGAACACAAATTATGGTCAAGAACTTTTTTAATCTCTCATCAATCTGGCGGGTCCAACAGAACCTACTGGATCGGCCAAAGAGCAGCGGAGAGACGTTCTATCCCAAACCTCCAGAATAAAAGCCATTATTTCAGGAATTAAAGAAACTTTTCAAAATAAAAGCCTTTATTTCTTGTTTTTAAAACGTTTATTTTTCAGGAAGTTCCATTCAAATACGACTGGAAGTTCGAGTTCATCTCAGAACTCTGGTCACAACAATAAAAGCATGGCAGGTTGGTTCTCAACCCTTGTGTGTGCAAATGATACAAGTTTTACTGTGTGGGGTCAGCTGGACCCCATTTCTAAACACAAGGACTAAGAAAACCTGCCACAATAAAAGTCTGAGATCAGTTCCTTCACAATAAATGCCTGCCACATGTTAGAAGTTCTAAAGCAGTATGTGGGTGGTTCTGTTTGACCTCTACCCGAGAAGAACCTTGGTTCTGGTTTTGGCTCATCTCAGAGAAACGTCTTTTTATTGGATCATAGTTTCTCTGCAGCTCCAGATCTGCACTCTGATTGGCCAGTTTGGTTTCAATAGATGAGCCGGTTCACCACCAGCCAGAACCGGGTCTTTCTGGGTTCTGTGGAGGATCGTTGTGTCTCAGTGAGAGCTACTTCCTGTTCCTGTCCAGAACCGCAGAACGTTTCACAATGAGCCAGGGAGGAGGCTTTTATTGTGAAACACAAAGAGGAAGCTATGACAAGAAGTGGCCCCTTTCCCTCCAGTGACGGTTTGTTTCCATCTGCAGCAGTTTGACCTGCTGACCTCTGAGCCCCAGAACCACCTGACCCGATAAGAACCAATCAGGTGAAAGCTCTGCTTCACCTGCAGACCCAGGACCAGGTCCACACCCCCAGCTGAGTCAACATTCGACCTCAGTCCACCTGATCTGGCTGCAGAACCTCACCAGACCCAATCTCAGTGGCACAGAACCAGAACCAACCAGGACTGCAGCAGAATGTTCTGACCCGGATCCGGTTGAGCTGCAGCAGAAACCAGAACCTTCGGACCAGAACATGTGCTGGTTCTGTCTGGTCATTGTTCTTGATGTTCTGGACCGGACATTCTGGGTCTGGAATCCAACCAGAACCAGAACATCTGAACAGGAAGTTTCCGGACCCAGCTGGAGAACGGAACCGGTGCCAGCAGGCTTTAGGACCCTGCAGCTCCTCCTGCAGCACCCCACCTCACCTGTCTGCACCGACCAGGTGAGCCTGAACCAATCAGAGAGCAGCTCTGCCCTGCGATGCAGACGGACCTGCTGGACGAGTCAGACAGGAGAGAGAGAGAAGGAGGAACACACACACACACACACACACACACACGCACACACACACATCGGCAGCCGGTCATACATGCAGAGCAGAAGACTCCGTGACATCACTGTGACATCATGAGCTCCCCCGCTGGGCAGATGGACGGGACCACCGAGGACAGGTGAGCCCGGTTCTGACCGGACCGCAGCAGAACCTCAGTGTGTGTGTGTGTGTGTGCTTCCTGTTCCTGCTCACAGAGGAAGTCATGTTTCTGTCCGGCGCCGGTTCTTCCCGTCTGTCAGCAAAGGCTTCACTGCCTCAGTTCTGATCCGGTTCTGGTTCAGAGACAGGACCAGGCTGAGGAAAGATCCGGTTCTAGTCCTCAGCAGAAGGACCGGGTCGGTGTAGATGATGTCACTGTTTGGAAAGTCAGCTCCTGATTGGTTCAGGTCCGGTTTACACCGTGATCAGAACTGTGGTTCTGGACCCGGCGCTCTAGGCGTCGGGTCAGAGTGGAATCGGGTCATTGTTTCCTCGACTCTAGAACCTCCAGAACCTGCAGAGCCTTTCCAGTCCAGTGAAATCCTCCACAAGTCCCTGACGGTCCAGAGCAGTTTCCCCTCACACCTGAGGACGACTCGTCCTCTGGGACACCTGGACATGAGCCGACAGGTGCATCTAGTCCAGGTCCACCTGTCCTCTGACTGACTCGTTTCTATTGTTTTGACTGTCTCAGGTGTTAAGCCCCGCCCCCTTAACACGTGGGTTTTTCCCAGCCGGACCCTGAAGGCAGCGTGACGGAAACATGAAGCTCTCACCTGGCTGGGCCTCACAGGAACAATAGGCCCCGCCCTCACCTGCTCAGGTGTGTCGGTGTGAGCAGTCAGGCCGGTTCCTGCTGGGTGACGTTTCACCTGAGCCAGAAAAGCTTCTCACCTGGAAAACCGGACTGGGTCGGTTCCACAGAACCATCAGGTCAGGAGTGAGTCCTGGTACCGGGTGGTCCAGTGGATCGCATGTGGGGACACCAGTTCCTCTGGGGATAAATGTCCTTGATGGACAGATGGAGGGACAGCTGGATCAGGTCGGGTCGGTCAGTGAGCTGGGTTACTGGGTCCGGTCCAGCACGGTCAGCTTAGGTCCAGCTACTCAGATGTTGCTTCCTTCCTGGTTTCATGCTTTTTATTTTCTGTGGTTCTGGTTCTGGGTTTACTGGACCAGTAGAACCTGCCTGGTTCTGAACATGTTGACCCAGTTATCCAATCAGAGAAGGGACTCTGTGACTGGATTGTTTCTTAGGAAATGGACCAATCAGAGAGCTTTCTCTGTGACATCATCACCTGCACGTTAACTGTGTGTTCGGCCCCTGCAGGGCGGCTGAGGAAACCCCACAGCCCGGCAGCATCCAGGACATGGAGCTGAGGGAGGAGTGGCTGGACGACGGCTTCCCCAGGTAAGCCCCGCCTCCAGCAGAACCAGAACCGGCCCGCTTACTCAGCTTCAGGCCAGATGACTGCCACAAGCTGAGCAAGCATGTGGTGACAGTGGGCAGGAAGAACCTTCCAGCAAAACCAGAATTAAGGACGGTTCTGAAGGTTCTGATCAGCATTATCACATGAAACCCTCCAGAACCTTCACTGGTTTTACTGAACCGGGTTCTGCTGCTGTTCTGTTCTGTCCCGGTCTTCAGGCCGCTCCCAGAGGATACTGAGGGTCAAGCAGGAGGCTCTGCAGACTCAGGTGAGTCTCTGGTTCCGGTCCAAATGGACGCCATCAATCCATTGAACCGAACCAAATCAAACCCGATCAAACTTCTCTTTAGCCACGCCCATCAGCCTGGCCCCGTCGGGCGGGGGAGGGGCCAGGAAGCGGCTGACGGCGCCGGCCCTCAGCGACCCGAACAGCGACAGCTTTTCGGCAGCGGCGCTTTCCGGGACGCCGGACGACTCGCCGTCGCTGGACATCAACCTGGAGGCGCTGGAGACGCCGTCCGGCAGCGAGTCGGGGACGCTGCCGGACGGCGTGCACGACCTGGAGTGGGAAGGTGAGGCGGCGGGGAGGCGGAGCTAAAGGATCCGCTGCTCAGATGGTGATTTCTGACCTCTTCCTGACAGACGACCTGCCTGAGATGGGGCGGGGGCGGTCCGTGGGCGTGGCGGAGCCCAGCGAGGGTCTGATGGAGCTGGACCAGGTGGACCAACATGGCCGCCGGTGGAGGCGGTTCTCCATATCTGGACAGGAGTACCAGGTCAACATGAGCGTCCTGGAGCCATACCTGCAGGTCCTGTCACATGGAGGTCAGAGGTCACACATGAACACCTGCAACACACCTGGAACAACCATGGAGCACACCTGTAGAAGCCTTAAGCATCAGATCAATTTCTGTGTTCACCGTGACGATAAGGGAAATTACCTGTCATTGGCAGGTTACTATGGAGACGGGATGAACGCCATAATTCTGTTCACTTCCTGTTACCTGCCGGAAAACACAGTGGAGGACTATGAGTATGTCATGGAGAACCTGTTCAGGTATGTTTGGGTGTGGAGTCACGGAGCAGCGCATGACAGAAGCCCACCTGGATGGACAGGTGACCCGGCTCTCGTTCTCCCGCAGGTACATCGTGGGAACGCTGGACCTGATGGTTTCAGAGAACTACCTGCTGGTCTACCTGTGCGCCATGGCTCCCAGGAACAAGCTGCCAGCCATCAAGTGGCTCCACCAGTGCTACACCTCCATCGACAGGAGGTAGGATGGATTCCTCTAGCAGGGCGGTGCGGACGGGTGGAGCTAGTTGCTCAGCAGGTGTTTCTGTGCAGGTTGAAGAAGGACCTGAAGGGCCTGCTGGTGGTGCATCCGGCCTGGTACATCAAGGCTCTGATCACACTGGTCAAACCCTTCATCAGGTCTGCAGCGCACACACTGGTCCCACACACACACTGGTCCCACACACTGGTCCCACACACACACTGGTCCCACAAACTCGTCCCACACACACATTGATTCCACACACACACTGGTCCCACAAACTCGTCCCACATACACACTGGTCCCACAGGCTGGTCTCAAAAACTGGTCACACACACACTGGTCCAACACACTCTGGTCCCACAGACTGGCCCCACACACCGGTCCCACAGGCTGGTCCAAAAACTGGTCACACACACACTGGTCCCACAGACTGGTCCCACAAACACACCGGTCCCACAGGCTGGTCCCACAAACACACCAGTCCCACACGCACACTGGTCCCACAAACTGGTCCCACACACACTTGTTCCACACACTGATCCCACACAGACACGCAGTAAATCAGGCCAAACGCTAAAAATCTCTTCAGTGAGCCAAAATGTGTCTATTACCATCCTGGCACCATGATCAGAGAAATTTCTGTGACCTCTGACCTCACCTGTTTTCCATAGTGACAAATTTAGCAGGAAGATTCGCTTCGTTCAGAACCTGGAGCAGCTGTCGCAGTTCGTCCCCACAGACAGGCTGCAGATCCCAGAGGCAATCCGACAGTAAGGGCTGAAACATTCCTGTGCTAACGCTGAACTGTCGCTGAGCTAACGCTGAGCTAACGCTGAACTGTCGCTGAGCTAACGCTGAGCTGTCGCTGAGCTGTCGCTGAGCTAACGCTGAACTGTCGCTGAGCTAACGCTGAGCTGTCGCTGAGCTACCGCTNGGGGGGTTTGGATCCACAAGGCTATTTCAAAATGAATTTGCCATTTTAGTTGAGTGAGAGACATAATAGAAAGCTAATTCCTCCAAGGACCGAATAGTAGATATGACTGATTTTGTCATGTCAACTAGGTGTGAAGCCTTTGCTGCATCGTTTATCATTTATTGTAAAAAATGTCTCGCGATTATAACTTATTGCTTTTTAGGCTGGCCAATTAAACTACTCCCTTCTCCCATATTTCACTAAATCTAACACAGAAGTTGTTAGAGGTGCTGATATTTTTAGCAACAAAAGGGACCCCTTAATCAAAGTCTGCTCCAGGCCTCATACAGCCTTGGACCGGCCCTGAATGATCAGTTAAATCTGCTGCACTACGCAGAAATGCGCAACAAACGGTAGATTTAATTCACTGCTGCTAATGTGGCTTTAGTAGCTCTTCCATTTCGTGTCTGTTGAGTTTTTAATAAGCGTCACAGAAAATATTCTGGTTGGTCGAGTTTATGGGACGAGTTTCTCAGATCTCCGTGCGGCCGCGCGCATTAACTCTAAGTAGACAACGCATTTGATATGGTTTGATGCATCGTTTAACTGAAAAATAACACTAAAAATAATAATAAAATAATATAAAATCAGCGTGATGCGTGACTCCGAGGAGAGCGTTAAAGCTCCTCACCGGGCTGAACCTGCATGATGAGGTTAGCGCTGCTCGTTATCCACAAACGCTCCGGCCAACCGGGACCACAGACATGAACTTTACAGGGAAGACAGACACAGAGCCACACGCTGGGCAGCATGTTGAGATGGAAACGCCCCATATAATTGTTCGTTCACAAAGATAAATCATTCTCACCGCTCCACAACGCACCTCTGAATTCGCTACAAGTTATTCCTGCGGTTCACATAGAGCTGCGCAACCAGAGCTAACGTGGCGGGTTTTAAACTCTTACCTAGAGTTCTCCAATACCTCACAGTAAGTTGATACAGGTCAGCCTGTGTCCAGTTTGAGCTAAAGGAGGAGCGCGCGGTCCCACTGAGGTAAAGCAGCGGCAGAGCGCGAGGCAAAACGCAGAGGCGCCAGCAGAGTGAATGGTCCGGGCTGTTGGGTTTAAATGCATAAACTATAAACCTATCTATTATAAAACTATCATTTAGGAATAAATCTGCTCTGCTAGTGAAATGCTCAGAGCAAAAGAGACACTTGCAGCCCAGCTTTAAAAAAATAAATAAATAAAAATTTCACCCCTAGAAACGTAAACAAGCCGGCGGGGCTAGTAAAGCATGGCGGGCCGCCAGGCTTATAATGCACTGGGGGAAACCCTGAAGTGGTATAAATAAATCTGAAGGACTGTGAATATATTTGCATGGCAGTCAATTTCTTGAGTGGGAAAAGCAGGAATGATGAGGCTAAACATGCTAGCATGTGCTAAAACATCAAACAGGCTTGTCTGAGCAGTGGCCCATGGGACATTTCACCTACTCTGAATGATATGGTGTTAATTTTATTAAAATGGAAAAGAAAGGTTTCTAGTTTATCGACACTTACTTTAGATTTGTAGTACAAATAGGCACAGCTTTTCAGCTACATTTGCTCACAAGTACACAGCAGGAGAACGTGACCTATGACCTATTCTTTTTTTCTGAATGATGCTAATAATATTGTTGTGAGCTTTTTTATAGCTCAGTATTTAACTGCATCATTCTGAGGACACTCTTGTACAACAGATATTTGACCTCAAGGAGTTTAATCCTGGTTACATAAAAGGTTGAATGAATGAATGCAGAGCAAAAACTACAAAAAAAGAAAATCTACACCCTAAAAATGTAAAATTGTAGGCCTGTGTCATAATAATGCAATAAACATTTGTTCCTTTATGATTTACATGTCCCTATACTTACAAACATCTGACTATTTTGCTCATTTCAATAAAAACTTCCATCTTTACGCTATTTATACATTTAAAAAACCATGCATATACAAATACTTTTGTATTTGCAATATAACAGACACCATGCAGCAGCAGACTAACCTGAAGGCTCGTTGGTCTCCAGCAGACCGTCTCTCTGGACGCTCGGTGACCAGTAGCCGTCCCTGAAGGAAGGACAAAGTGCTAATCAGTACCTCGTCTAAAAACGCTGGGAGAGAAATAAAAACTTGAAACATATCATGCAATGTCTACAGGAAAAAATAAAATCATGCAACTCACTTTTTTTGTTAAAGTTAACTCTACAGGTGAAACATTGTCAAAAAATCCTACAGTAAACAACCTTTACACAGCAAAGAAAAAGTAAACAGCAGAAGATTTGGCTCTGTTCATTTTTAACACTACCCTGACATATTTTGATAGAAACAAACAAAAAAAAACAAATTATTTTTGTCCATTAAAAAAAGTGTATGATGTTGGAAGTTACTTTTTTTCTCCTCTTTACTTTTGAACTGATTTTTTTTTGTACTCATGATTGTAAGAATATTTTTTTATGTCAAAAGGTTTATGTCAAAGGATAAAACACACTAAGAAATTAATAATTAAACATTTAGGGTTAGGTTACCTTTACAGTGGAGTTGTCTAGGTTATAAGCATCCTCTCCATTGCACTGCCATTACTCTCTACTAAAGTAGCCATCGCGCCAGCATCGTTCATGACAACGAGGCCTAGACCTGAATGGTGGTTTGAATTCAGTTAATTTTCAAGCGGCTCTGAAAGCAAATTCTCATTGACGATTACGACCACAGGTATAAGGATTGAAAAAGTCTTATACATACCCAGGCATTCAATGCTTTAGAACTCTATACACATTAGGAAGCTATCCAGGTTATTTTAGAGGTCTTACCTCTGGCTCCTTTTTAAAAAGTATAGAAAGAGAGAGAGAGAATAAGTTGTGCTCTTTTGATAATCAGTCAAGACATCATTTAGTACGGTTAAAGCCTCCAGACGTCAATACATTCATTTAGATTTAAAAAGCGCTTTTGAAGAAGGAAACAAAAGGGGAAAACCAGCTACATCTGACTGCTTGTTTAAAACCATGTTGTTGTTTTTTTTAACAGGACAGGAGACAAATAAAGCCAGTTAAGGTTTCATAAAAAACAAAAAACTAAGCTTTATTGACAAACTGCTGCAAAAAACATCTTTTGGACAGATTTAGTAACCTATTTAGCCAAGCTTACACATGGAGCATAATGCATTTTTAATGGAGAGGGTACAGATACTAGTGGCAGAGTAAGTACAATTAGGATATTTTTAAAATATGTACAAGAGTTCGGATTGAGCTGCAGGATCCCTTCTCTACAGGAAGAGAAGACCCATGTGGAGATTTTTGTCCCAATCCTTCTTTTTTTTTCTTCTTTTTTTTGGACTTTGTGCATGCAGTTTGTATAGAATCAAATCACAATGAAGACCTGAACTGCGTTTAAATTACCATTTACCAGCCAGATTCTCATTAAAAACAATTATTTTATTTTTCTTTTTTAGATTTAAAAAAAAATGAGGATATGAGGACAGTCCATCTCAACAGTGTCTATTAGGGCTATATTTCAAAACTCTACGCACAATAACAAATATTGCTGCCTAAGGCTAATTGGACAATTGTTTTAGAACTATTTAAAAACAAACAATTATAGAGAATGAATTGCACCGATTCCATTAACTTTGCTTTAGCCTTAAACTTAATTTAGGATTTTTTTTGTTGTTTTGGTTTAGATATTACAGGATTTAAAAGAAAGAAAGGGTTAAAAGGTCATTTAATAATAGGCTATATTAACAGAATTTTGAAATGTAGCCTAAGTGGGAATCTGCAACTGACCCTTAACAGGTGCTTTATATTTAAAACAATTAAAACTGATTCTTTAGACAATTAGTTCTTGAGCCACTAATTCTACGAGAACTAACTATTCCCAAACATTGAGAAACAGAAACAATGCAAAAAAGCCAAAGAGGGGGGAGGAAAAAAATACAGCAGGAAAGAAAAAAAAAAAGAAAATAACCAAAATGGAAGCTTGACAAGGTGCCCACGAATCCTCTCTGACCAATCGAAAAGCCACTTTGGTTGGCTGGACAGGAAGTATGACAAAAAGAGGGTGAGAGTAGGGGATGGGTTTGTGGTCAAATCTGGAAAAAACAGTTCCAATTTCCAGTTCCCAATTGGCTCTGTCGGGTAGAAGTCCAGTGAAAGGGGGAAACCAAAAACAAAAATAAAAATAAAAAGACCAACCCAAAGACAAAACGGACAATTACTTTTGTCAGGCTTGATAAAGCGAGAGCTGCCGTGGTAACGGGCGATTTATCGGGGCAACACTAAGGGTGGAGAGGGTCCGTTTCACTTCAGTACTGTCGGTAGGGGTGCTCCCGGTAAGCCGTGCTGCCGCCTCTAGAGGGGGGAGGCGCTTTCCCTGGAGCCGTCCGCTGGGTGCCGTTCCAGTCGTCCTGGGCTGGACAGGAAGTAGACAGAAAATAAAGTCAACATCAAATGGTTCAAACGCACAAATGGCCCTTTAACACTGGCACGGCTCCACTCTACATGGCTGTAGGGGGTTTCTACTAGCAACGGCTACATGGTAACAGTTACTTTTTGGGAATCCAAGAGTGAAGAGTTGGTCATAAAATGTAACATCAGAAGACTATTGGTCAGTGGTTGGTAGTGGGTGGAGTCACTGTGGGTGATGCAACCAGTGAGTGATTCCCAAACAATTTCCAAAAACTAACAACTATTGAGCAGATCTGGAGTCTTTTAGCAGACCAAGCAGAACACCCAACATTCACAACCAGTGCGTGGTTCGTTATTGGGTTTTTCCATTTCAAAATAAAATCGCAAAAAGGAAATAAGAGTTTTGTTTAGTTTGTTTTCCGTTTTTAAAACCTAAATGAAAAAATGTCCATCCATAGTTCAGCTATGTAAATCCAGCTGTGCTGAAAGTACCAGCAGAAGTTTGTTCATGGTAAGATCATCAGATCTCAAAGACTCAATGACTAAAGTCTCTAAATAAGACACACATCCATGATGAGACTTGGGCAGTTTATAAAGTGCTAAGTGAAAACGTAACACGCCCAGAGTTTGTGCCATAATTTAATTTAAATATACATAAAGGGGAGTCTTTTTTTGTAATACGCGTTCCTAATTTAGCTTTAAAAAAAAAAAAAAAAAAAAAAAAAACTACCTAATTTGTTTTTGTCATGTTTTAGGTTGAATTGGGGGGGGATGAACCATGTACAGATTCTCCATGTCAACCGTTGTGTTGCGTTTGTCATTGCACTACTTTTCAGATTCTGGTGGTTGCCCACAACAACCTCGCTGACCAAAGCTGCTTGGTGGTCAACAGTAATGAAAAACCACCTGGACTGGGTGGAGTAGAGCCAAGTTGAGAAAGGCCAAAAAAAAAAAACACCACCACCACCAAGTAAAGATTCACAGCATCAAATTTGTCCCAAAATAATTTTAGGTAAAGTTCAGAAGGAAGTTATTTAAGATTTTTGATATAATGGGCAAATTTTCAAAGTTAAACCTTCAAACATTAACTGGAAGGAGGATAAGGAATCCAGGAAAAGACAAATGGATTGATGGACAGTTTCTTCTTTTATACTAATCCAGCCGAGAAAAATAGACAAAATTTCAACCCGACACCAGATATTATTCACCATGATCCAAACAACAAGCCACCCACATATACAGCGTTTTGATAAAGTTTTCATACCCCAGGGGCTTTGCCATATCTCCTCATGTTCTATCCAGATACAAAGTAAACTAGAGTTAGAAGCTGCTGTGTTCACATGAGACCAACATTAAACTCTTTGTATGGCAGAAATCAAACATTAACACGATTTAGGATCTGCACTCCAGTATACCACAATTCAGATTTCCATTTCTTAAAAACAAAACGGAGGATTTTCTTGCTACACTAGCACTACTGTTATGGTCTATTACATAAATCCCAAATAAAATACATTCAGGTTTATAGCAAGGCTCTGCACCAGCTTTGATTTTTCACTGGAACTAAACGACTAAAGCGATCTCGGCTCAGAGAGGTCGGCTCTTACCGTATGACTCGTACGACTCGGTCGTCTCTCCGTGTCCATAGTCGTAATATTCTGGTTCTCTGGTAGTTGCAAAAAGAGAAATGAAACGGTTGAGAAATGAATGTTTTATCTCTGCATAACATCACTAGTTGCTGACTGCAATAACCAGGGAGATGATATTTGTCTTTTACAAATGAGCTCTAATCTCAGTGCTCCATCAGACAACATCTGAGCTCAATCAGGTCTTCCTAAATACCACATGAAGAACTGAAACTGTACTTCTGATGTTTCCCAGTGTGATGCAGAGCAAACGTGGCTGATGTGAGAAGCAGGTGAAAACCTTAGAGTCGTCTGATTCACTTACGCCTGCGGCTGGCTGTAATAGCTGTCGTAAGACTCGTAGGCTGTGTCTGTGTAGCTCTCGTCGTAACCCTGGAGACCAGAAGAAACAGAGAGAGATTTGAGGGGGGCTTGTTCACCGATCCTGAGTGTCAAGATGTCCCCTGGAAAACATCCCGACAGTAAAGCTGACACGATCCCTTATGCTGACATCTAGAACTGCTCACTAGCGCGCCGTCGACTTAAAGCTAGCTGTTGGAAAAAATTAGGAGTTGAAGGATTAGAAACAACTTACGTATTCGTCGTAGTTCTCTGCACCGGCGCCAGCTGTGTGCTGGTGAGCAGGAGGCGGCGCCATCCTCTGAGGCGGGCCGCCAGCCGGGGGTCTGGCGCGTGGTGCCACGGCCCCTCTGGCGGGGGCAGTAGGAAGTCCTCCTCTGCCTGCGGGGGCGCCCCTCACTGCTCCGCCCCTGGCTGGGCCTCCTCGAGTCACACCTCCTCTGGCCGCAACACCGTGAGGAGGCATCCCTCTCCCCCTGGAGGGAAACGAGGTCAAAGTGAACACACATGGCTTTCTGCATGAGGTTCAATCCAGCCAACATGTCACCCGGCTATCTGCTTAGGACCTTTTAAACAGACTACTTCATTTATTTTCTTCAAAGAGAAAGCACATTATATATATTAAGTAGCATTATTGTTCACATGGTTTTGATTTTTAAATGTCAGGGTAGCAGGATACAGATTAAAATCACAAATTACATAACTTCACATCAAATTTGCATTATTAAGCATTTTAAAGCATTGTATGTGGAGGAAGGAACTAGTAGCTAACTTGCTACTGTTAGCCACAGGTAAAATTAGCATACAAGCTCACATTAGCTTTTAAAATATTTCAGCTTTTATATTGGTGTATATTACAATCACAATCATAATCTTAACTTTTCAATAGAATGCTGTTTAGAACACCATACATGGAGCAAGTCATTATTAGTCAACTTGCTACTGTTAGCCACTATACCAAAATTTTGCATTTTAGCAAATATGTTTTTGCATCATGACCAGCTTATATTGCAATCAAAACAATCAACATTTTTACCATGACATCTTTGCAATATAGAGCTGCTTGAAGCATATGGAGCAAGTATTTGTTAGTTTAAATGTAAACTAACATTAGATTTAAAGCTTTTATGTTGGTTTTTTCATGCTGAGTGTATTACAGTATATACTGATTATATTACAAGAATAATCAATTTTTTATGTTACCTTTGCAATATAAAGCTGTTTAAAGCTTTATACAGAGAGCAAATCCCTACTAGCTAAAGTGCTACTGTTAGCCACTATAGTAAAATTAGCATTTAAGCTAACATTATCATTTCAGTGGATTTTAGCTTTTTCACAGTGAATGGAGTATATTACAGTATAAGACATTCCCAATAATCATAACTTTATCATGATAACTTTGCGATATACAGCTACAGAGAGTAGATGAATGCTGCAGTACATATGCCCTGAACCTTATAATGAGTGTGTAAACAGGTCTGCCCCTCTACCTGTGTGCTCCAGCAGGGGGGACACCACGGCCCCTGACAGGCATGCCCCCTCGGCCTCTGCCTCCGTGCTCCTGGCCTCCGTTCAGGTAGCTCATCTCCATGAACTGGCCCTGGCAGATATCATCCATCATATCCTGCAAAAACACACACAGCAGAAAAACACAGAAAGAAACCGTTAGACGCATCAGTACCGCACGTTGGAATGTGACTGTGCAAAAATCAGGAGGGGGGGAGGAAGGGGACTTAAAGCAAAACAAGGAGAAAAAAAGAGGATATACAAGAGCTTAGAGCAAGTGGGGGGGAAAAAGCCTCTGTGCCAGTGACTCAGACTGTTAAGGGAGGTGGGGTGGGCTGGGTGGGCTGGAAAGCTTCCATCCACACTCCATCCCTTCATTCCATCATGCAGAAAATGTAAATCTCATCTTTACACAGCCTTGACAAGTCTAGTGTGACTGCATCAGCAGCTACCTTATTTTATCTGCAAAACAATAAGTTGGGCTGAATTAGTGAAGCAGCGTGCCTGAGCAGCGCAAATCCAGTGATGCGAGTTGCTGTTTTTTTCCCTCTCTCTCTCTCTGTGACCCAATCAATTCTTGTTCATTCATCAACCCCAATGCAGTCTTGTTAAAGACGGCTCTGTAGACATGAAGAGCTGAGGACAGGAACACTGCGGCAGTGATCTGCTGTGGGATTTACAGCAGTAAAATATGAGGCTGCACAGACGCTAGAAGGACATCAAATCCTTGGATTACCTGAGCAGAAATACTGGAAGTAAAGGACAAATTTTCTCCAACAACATAGCCTCGCGTTTTCTATAAGCGTTTCTCAAACTCCAGCTTTGTTCCACATGACAGCCCGACAGATTACAGGCTTTAATTGTTGTGACAGGTGCTGCAGGGGACAGCTCTTTACATGACAGCAATACTAACGCTGCAACTAGTTCTCTCGCTTATTCATCTTGGTTCTCGTCAGAATGAGTCTGTTGTGGCACCCTGCACAATAAGAGCCGCCTTGTACAACGGTGGGGGCCCCGTCGGCCCGACTCGCCCTCGTTGGATTGTTGCGATCCAGAGCCGAGCCCGACACGCAGACCCTCCCTGGCTCGACTGTGGCTCAGAAACCAATAAAGCTGGTGTCAGCTGTGTGCGTGTCTGAGTTGGACATCAGGCAGGGACTTTGTTGAACGTGCAGTGATGGACAGACATGCGGGCACCGTGCTGACATGCCGAATGCAGCCCCACTTCCTCCTTTTGAAGCAGATTGCTTCACGTGTCTGGACTGTGCCGTGGATTGTGTTTGCTCAAGGTAAACACCCACTCCATTTTCCCCAGCCTGTCTTTGCTGGGCTCCCACCTAGAGCTCTTTCCATCTATAATGCAGCAAGTCGCCCTGGTAAGGCGCTGAAGCCCTGTACGAATCAGGTTTGCATGCAAACAGCTTTCAGATTCCAGCGATCAGAAAAGATGAGGTGGAATCTGAATAAAAATACAGTAAAAAAAAAAAAAAAAAAAAAACCTTATAATCTGTAGCTTTTAGAAAAAAATTAATCATTTAACACTAATGTACTGAGCAGCCATACTGGTATGAGGCAGGTACCAATATGGCATTCTCACTGTATGATTATGTTGAGTAAAAATACCACAGTTTCATATTATAAAAAGAAAATGTATATAATTCAATTGCTTTTATTTCCATTAGAGAATCAGCAATTATTCCTACTGCTGATTATGAAAAAAAAAGAATTAATTTCTACATCTATAGCAACTGACAATATTCTCCATCAGCTGAAGAATTGCACTGTTCTTCCAGCCTATTGAACAGGCAGTGCAGAGAGGCAGCAGGTGGGGGAGGGGCAGTATTCTGTAAAAATAGAAATAAAAACCTCCAGTCATTCTTCAACCTTCTCTGGCCTGTGATTGAACAGGACACCTGCAGATTTCAGAAACTCATATTTAAGACTTTTAAGACCTTTTTAATGCCACCTTGAATGAAATTTATGACTGAAATAAACCTATAGGGGATGTTTTGTGGGGACTCTTGCTGCATTATAATCAAGCATAGCAAAAACTAAGAACCCAGCTTTGTGCCCATGATGGAGCCAAAAAAGCTTGCTAGCTAGCAAGGATGTATTAGCAGCTAGTTAGCGGTAGCCTCAACCGCCTCAAGTGACAGGATGCATTCAAGATGTTTGCATGAGAGTCAAACTTTTGCCTGCCAGAAAAGCCCCATGAGAAAAACAAAAAACTACATAGAATATTCTAGATTAAATGGTCATGCAACAACAAAATGTAAGACCATCTCTACACAGTCTTGACAAGTCTAGTGTGACTGCATCAGCAGCTACCTTATTTTATCTGCAAAACAATAAGTTAGGCTGAATTAGTGAATTTGTCCCCACAAAACATCCCCTATAGGTTTATTTCAGTCATAAATATTTAAGGCCAACTGGATTTTTTTTATGAATTCAAAATTTTTAAGACCTTAAATTTAGACAAGTTTAAGACTTTAAGGATGTGCAGATTAAAAATACCATACGCAGTAAAAGCAGTGTTAGAGCTGACCAAAATATTGAACTGCAACACAATCATGTCCAAAAACAAAAATTGCATATTAACCGCTAGGCCATTATTTATCAAGTGTGACACAGTTAAGCTCTGCAAGGCAATTCTATCTGCAGCCCAACTTGGCTTGATGCCCATAACTTATACATGACTTGGAGGTCAGGATGCTGGAGCTCGTTAAGAGTCTTAGGGACACTGAGATAGTGGCAAAGAGTGGGGAAAATGTGCGTTAATCACATCTGGTTACATTACAACCACAACATTTTTGCATGCATTAGTAGATTCTTAATTTCTAAAACCTCAAAAATGTAATCACTTCGATCACATGCATCACATTTCAATCTGGTCAGACATGTTGACTTCTTGATCTTTTTTTCTGCCTGTTTTCTACTAAATATGCTGCAGTTTAAAAAAACAGTCCTGTTGATTGATGAGCCCAGGCTGGTTACCAGTGCTAGCTTATTTAATACAGGTTATCTAAAGGTTAATTCTTTAATGTCAAAACCACACAAATGGCAAGAGATGCTTTCCCCCCTCTTCACCTCCTATACGTTTCTGAGCTACTACACTTTTCCTCTCCTTACAAAGACAAATTCTGGGACTTTTGGACGCATCAACAAGAACCAGCAAGATACGACTGGAATCTCTTGCTCCATTGACATTGTGTTTAATCTAATGTTTTCGCTTTAGATGGAGCAGGAACATAAAGGACATCAACCCAGACTTAAAGTCCCAACACTGGGCCCCTGTAGCTCAGAGAATAGACTTCAAAATACTATTAGTTTATAAATCACTGAACGGCTTAGCACCACAATACATTAAAGATCTGCTGTTGTATCAACCTTCCAGACCCCTCAGGTCTTCTGGTTCTGCTTCTGCTGCGCATCCCCAGAACCAGAACCAAACATGGAGAAGCAGCATTCAGCTTCTATGCACCACAGATCTGGAACAAACTTCCAGAAAACTGCAAAACAATCAAAACACAGAGTTCCTTTAAATCAAGACTAAAACCCACCTGTTTAGAGCTGCCTTTGAGTAGCACTAACAGGAACACTAATCAACATATTTGATGTACAGTTTCTTGATTTTGATGATAGCATTTGACCAAATGTAACATTTATTGGTCATTTTGTTACTGCATGATGTTTTTATGATGTAAAGCACTTTGAACTGCCTTGTTGATGAAATGTGTTACACAAATTAACTTGTTCAAAGTAACAGAAGCAAAGGATTGGATTTAGTGATCAAAATGTTATTTTAAAAACAAGTAGGAATACTAACAGCTGTTTAAACATAATGACAGTGAAGTTTTTATTCCAGGTCATCACAACCTGAGAAACGCCTCAGACCTCATTCAGACCTCATGAATGACTGTGCCACAATCACTGAATGGAAACCTCACAGGGCAGATGTGGCTACAATGTAGCTCAGCACCAACAGGGAATGTGTGTATTACTGTAGTGTAAAGCGCTCTGGAGCCCTTAGACCTTTACAGAGGTATAAAATACATTTCAAATTTGAGGTTTAGTTGGAAAAAGACAAGAAAAAAACAAACACAAATAATAACAATAATATCATTATTAATAATAATAATAATAATAATAATAATAATCTCACAAGGAACAAAAATAAAAAGTCAGCGGTCAGAGGACCGGATAATGGAACGCTTGTAGTTTGGGAGGGAGAAACTTACAGGAAACAGGAACTTCTTGACCTCCTCCATGGCGTGCGCCATGCGCAGGTAAGCGTCCGGCACAGGGGCGAACACCTCGATGAAGACGTGCAGCTCCATGGACAGGTGGGCATACTTGGGCTCGCCGCCTTTCCTCAGTTCCTCCTCCTGAGACGAGCGACATCAGAGCCGTGTCAGCGAGCCAGAGGGGGCGCAGCCTTACTCAAATATTACATGAATTATGCAAGCCGTTATCACATTTCATCCACCTCGGGGGCAGGAGAGGGGGTGTGATATTGCTGCTTTTACAGAGCCCAACAATCACACCGAAGTGGAAGGGTATCCTAAACCAGATGTGCGGCGTTCTCCTTTCCTCGGCCTTATGTTTAGACTTCCTGCAGGTTAGCAACATCTGGCCTCCTCCTCGTGGGAAATCCAGATGTGTTGCCGCGTCGACAGTGTGTGACGTACCTTGGCTTTGTCTCTCATGGACCCCTTGCCCAGCACGGAGATCTTGGCGCCAGTCTCCTCCTGCAGACGCTTGATCGTGTTGCCCTGGGGTCCCAGGATCTTCCCCACGAAATTGAACTAAACAGAGCAACAAAGAAGAGCAAAATTAGTCTGACAATCAAAGTGGGGCCCCAGTTAAATACCAAGAGATTGAGGGAGCAATCACTGTCAGGGGGCTCTCTGCTAAAACACACACACTGCGGACAGAGTCAATATGATCCCCTGAGGGCTGGAGCGCTGTCAGCTGCTATCATCCATGCACCGAGTCAGACTCTGCTGCTGATCAAAAGCTGCAATCTTGGTCTGCTCGGGTCTGAACCCAGTCATGACCGTGGATTACAATTAGCTGTCATCCACAACCGTGCTTAGAGGTAACAGATTTTATTTTTTTTTAAAAGCAGCTTTGAAAGGGAGCAGTCTCTGCTTTGATTTCTGAAGCAGTTCTGGCAAATGAGCTCCGTCATCTTCAACGGTGGTACATTATGTACCGAATCGAACCATGTCTGGAAGATCAAACGGCTGTCACTCCCACATAACACACATTCAGGCCTCTTGTTGATCCAACATCCAATGCAACAAATAAGGACAGTAACAATGTTTCTAGGGCTCAAACGATTAATCGGATTAATTGTGATGAGTCGATTATTTGAATAATCTTCAACTAAATTAGTAGTCGATTAATCGCTAAGTGGAGTATAAAGACCGAAACCAGGGAATTTTGATGAAGCACAGTCAGAACAGAAATGAAACCAAAGCTGTACAAAAATATACATTTTTCATTTAAGCAAAAAACATTTGTAAGCTTACAAATGTCTTTAGCATCTCATAATATATTACTTAATCAGCCTGTTTTCTAGAGACTATAGATACTGAGCTTATCTCAGATTTCCAAAAGCCTAACTCTGAAAAGCTCAAAAATAAAAAGAGTAGCTTTGCTGTAATATGTCCAGCCTTCCTGTTACTTCCTTTAAAGATCAGCTCTTGCTCAGTTGGATTTCTATTGAAAAATTGAGACATCTATTCATTCACTTTCTTAAAAAAAAAAAAATATATATATATATATATATATATATATATACTGAACTTATTTAACCATGTTATAAATACAACAAAATGGAGACCTTTAAGTCATTCATCAGTACTTCTAATAACTGGAAGAGTTCTCATCCAATTCTGGCCAACAGTAAATTTATTTGTGCATACATAAGAAATTAGTTCTACCCAATGTTAAAAAAATATATTTACTTTTAGTGCCCAAAACTACATTTAAAAAAACTTTCCATAAATAGGACTTTTACGATAAGTTTTGCTGGATGACAAATTGCCCCAGTAAGTATTGCAATAAACGATAATATTGTTGTATTGAGATTGTTTTCATGCAATATGTTATTAATGGCATATGAAATGAAAGTTTTCCCTCTCAAATATGAACAAACTTGAATTTTGTAAAGAACTTAACACTGGAACCAGAAGACATTTAAAATAGTCAAAACACAACTAAAAATAAAAAATAAAAATTCCACTTACAACCAAAACCATAATTATAATTATGGTGCCTGAACAAAACTGCCTTGAAAAAAACTTAGGGTAACGATTAATTGCTTATTGAGACAGGCTTCTTCACAAGTAAAAATTTCACAACTGCTGAGGCATTTCTGTACCTGTAGAGGGGGGGTCCTCCACTTACTCTGAATCACTGCTACACTTTAAACACACACCCACTGAACTGATACAAACTAATCCACATGCAAGGCTCAACTTTAAAGGAATAGCAAGATCTGAACATGGAGGGAATCAAAATGAACCTTTTGGTCCATCTGTTGTTTGCTGTTATAGTCAGGAGTTTAGAAAGCAGAGATCAGCACCAAACTGGGAAGCTACTGAGTAACACATGGCTTTGTGATATTGAAACGTACAAAGCCACGGTGGTCAGCTGGTAAACGATCATTTGGAGGCAGATCAAACGAGAGCAAAGCGTCTCACCTTTGGGTACTGTTTGACAGGTATGAGCACTCGCTCCTTGAGTTTGATGTTCTTTGTTGTGAAAAGGTCCAGGTAGGTCTCCGTCTCCTTCTTCGGCTCTCCTTTCTGCACTCTATCGATTTCTGGAGAGGGGAGGAAAACTTTTTTTATGCAACCAAACCATATCTTTTGTATCTTGCATCAAGAGAGAATTATGAATGTAGAAATAAAAGACCAACAAATCAGTTTAAATATCAAACTTGAACCAGATAGTTGATAGTTTTACAAATTTTAATCTACTTTTAACATCTAGAAATGTGAGAAATGAAAGATATATTCAAAAGCAATAGCACTACTGGGGGATTTTGTTATATTCAGCCTTGTTTTAATAAAGAAATAAAATCCTAGGTTAATTTGGTGATGCTTATCGAATAAGAAACATGCAATCATTATTTTATTGTTCAACGTTGTCATGACACATTTTTCTCATTACAGTGAAGCCCCGCTATTCGCATGGTTCAGGGACCAAAACTGCTTTCAAATACCTAAAATCAACAAATACTTCAGACACCCTTTAAAAACTAATAACTGATTATTTTAATAGTTCAAGCCCTGAATAGAACTTAATATGCATTAATAAGCACAGTGGAAAAAGTCTTAGCACTATGACAGAAACTAACATCTATAGTCTTCTTCATCGCCACACTTTGGGCTACAGCCAATCAGCAACAAGGATAAGTAAATGGCGTTCCTGGATTGGCTTCTTCGCAAACACCAGCCAATAGCGTGTCAAGCAGCATTGACTGGGTATTTCAGGTCCCAAAAGCATTTTTCTTTTGAATGTTGTAGAGAAAAATCTACTAATAGGGAAATTTTCCACAAATAATTTGGAGTTCTACAACTAGGTGAACGTCCACTCCGTCTTTTGATGTTGTTATGGTGCATTAGGATGTTTACATGAAAGACGGTGAAAGTTCTTCCAAGTCATATAACACGTATTTCTATGCATTACTGACTTAAATTCCGCCAACAAGATATTGCACCCAAGCAGTCCTTGCACAAATTCATATTGTAGATGTTATAGACAATTTCATCATCTTAGCTGTTGGTAAGCAACATTAGAGTATTTTTACAGACTCTTAATGTAGAGAAATTGTACTTTTCTCTGACAATGGCTTTTGGTCTGCTGGCATAGTGAAAGAATTAAAAACAAACACTTAAAGATGCTTAAATAGTTTATGGATCCCTCATCCCAGTTTTAAAGGAAATAAAGTAAATCTTTAAAAAGTAAGACTTAATAAAAAAAAAAATCTCAACTTGCTTACTTTCCTTTCTTGACCCTCTTTCCTGCAACTAGTCCCGTCACCAAAACAACTTTTGCTAAAAAATAAACCAATGCAATATGTCCATCTATACAAGGATCAAAAAACTTAGATCATATAATACTTTAACTAAATAATTTTAGAAATCCAACATTAAAAAATCATTAATTAAAATGGATTATGAAGTCTCTGTAACCAAAATTGCATTTTAAAGAATAATTCTTAGCTCAGACAAAACGTGGCAGGTAGTGCAAACTGTCAAAAGTCTTTTCAACAATATTACAGGGGAGCATCTCTCTAACGACTGTTGTTCAAATGGAAAGATTTAACTCATTCTAATTCATCATTCCCTTAATTGACTTCATGCTTGTTGTGACAGAATTACCTGCAACACAGCAAGAACAAAAAGTTTCTCAAAACCCCATCCAATGCCTGGCACCCATTGGTGCCACTTTTCCCAGTACAGACAAGAAGGCTGGATATTTTTCCTCCCTAGTGTCGTTGGACAAAGGTGTCCCATCTAAATCATGTCCCATCTATGCCCATCCCGCTGTTGCCAACTTAGCAATTTTGTACCTATATTTAACGACTTTTCAGACAAAAAGAATCGCTATCTGCCAAAACTGGAATGGGCAGTCCAGGCTGTTTTAAAGAACGTGATCGGACAGAAACGCTAAAAGTTGAAAAGTAAAAAAAAAGTTGCAGTGCACCAGTTAACTGGCCATTGACGTCTAAAAGTGAAATCTGCCAAATACTGCAATACTGACAAATATTGTATTTCCTGAAGAGACGCTAATTATCAGTTGGAATCAGCCAATTGTTCCATCATTGGGTCAAATATTTAAAGACCACTTTAAATATTTAGGGTTCAAGATTTTACGTTTTCCCAGACTTATCAAACATCAGACCCAGATTTCTGTCTCAAGATTCCTTAATTAACAGAATGTACTTTAATAAACGTCTTTGATTTATTGATATTGATATCTTTGGGATATTCACTTGAATACAGTATGGATAATCCCATTATTTCTTATATTTCTGACAGATTCAAAACTTCTTCCTTATCATTTTTCCTGTGTCCTACCACTTTTATGGTCACTTGTAAAACCATCAGTAATAAGCATATTTAAGTGATGTTTAGTAAAAATAAGTGAGGTTCTGTAACAGGACCATTCACCCCTTCATTCCCACAAACCACCTTGTGCCTGTGTAGTGAAATAATTCCTTATTAGTTCACTTTGCAATAACTACTTTAACAAATCATAAGAGATAAGTGCTTGTTTGTATGTTATCTAAAGACTTTCTTACAATCTTTTCATTTAGTTCCTCTCCATGTTTGGGCTGACTGAAACTTGGCTTGAAATCCTAACAACTGATAGACAGAAAATAGCCCTTAGCAAAACAACGCTCACATTTATATGCAATCACATTTACTTAAATTTAACTACAAGTAAATTAGAGAAAATATGAACCAAATATTCCATCTGGCACAGATCAATTTGGCACCCAAAAAAGTAAGGTGGAAAACAAAAGTAGTACAAAGAAACATAATGGGGAATGGATATGGATTTATGGAAGATATTTTTTATTTGATTCAAACTGCCTCTATCAAAGAAGTTGCAAAAAAAATAAAAACATTCAGTGTCAAAGTTTGCGTGATACAATTAATAGAAAATTTGACCAGTCCATCTCTATTAAAATTATTTTTATTTTTAACAGTGTCGCTGCTATGAACCTGTAGAACTTTCATCGTGTTATATAATAATTTCAATGTACTACGTTATGTTAGGGTATTAAGAGTTCATTCTCTTCACTTGGACAAAAGTTCAAACATTAAAAAATAGATATATTTTAAAATAGCACAACAAAATGAAGTTACATGGAGACCAAAGTGAAGAACTAAAATGGGCAGAGAGGGTGTTTCCCCAACGCAGGAATGAGAACAGCAGTCCCAGATCCGCCATGGCTGCCGTCTCCGTACAGAACGGCAGCTCACACCGGGACCTCGAGCTCATTTACACCGTTAATAGAGGGCCGAATCTCGGCTTTCAGATGTTGGGGTTAGCGGTGTCCTGCTTACTTGACTTATATCTGTACACTGCTGTTCAACAAAGCTGGCAGACACGTAGTGAAACCAACAGAAACACAACGACGAAGACAAAGGACGGTTTGTCCGGGAGCCATTAAAGTTTGCAAGTTTAAAGTCAGCACGAGCCTCCACTGTGTGACCGACATCTGTGACTACATGTCGCAGCTGCGCGAGGGGGAAACGGAAATCCTTCAGCTGACTACGTGGAAGTGTGCGACGCTGCCCGAGGTTTAGGCTATTTTCTGTTTGAGTCATAAGTCATTAACCGCCATTTATCTTCACAGAGCTACAGGAGCCCTCCGCGTTAGCGCTGCAGTTTTTGGGGGGCATTCTAGGTCTTGTGCCAAAGCACACTGCGCTACTAGAGTACAACTGTGTCCCTCTGCTCCCTCGCGCTGCCAGTCAAAGCACACGATAAAACACAAAAAACACAATTTAGTAGTTGTCTACCTGCGCTTAAAAGTTTCATGGCGTGTGTAAATGACGAGTCCAAGCTGTCCTTCTCCGCCAGCAGTTCGGGAAGATATTTATCGTCGTTCTCCATCTTGTTGAGTTCGCAGAAGCAGTCGGTATGGATGGTGGAAGATGAAAAAGCGTGGGAAAACTCCAACAAGAAGACAAAAAAGTAGTCCGTTTATGTTGCTATGGCGTGCCGAGTATCCCAAGAGTGGACGGGGCTTCGCATGTGGCTTACAGTCGGACGGCTCCGCGCTTTGCCTCGTATTGGTTCCCTTCGCAGGCTGACCAACCTCTTCTCGGAAGCGCGGACTCGTTGGAAATGGGAGAACAAAAGCAGTGAAGGGTATACGACTCCAAAAAGCGGAAGTGAGCTCACAGGGACGTGGTTCTCTGGTCTGACACCGCCTACCGCGCGGTCACTGGATTACAAGAAAGTTAAATATGAAAACTGTCCAGGGTGCTCTTAAGGTGGTAAAATCTACAAACACTTGATTCAGAGAAAAATGAATCATGAAAAGTTGTATAATAATCCTTCATATAGAAGTGGCCAATAGGGGCGCCTCCATAAAGTTTTGTGCGGGTGGCCACAATCATGGAGGCGGGGAAGATTATCTGTGTAACACTTTTCACTGAGTTATTCAAAATGCTTTATAGAAAAATAAGCAGACTCATTCACTGGTTAATAATATTGGCTATAGTGACTGTAAAGGACTACAGTCGTTCTGTGGCATATAATTAAAAAGTTGTGTATCAGCATGTAGGGGTAAGGAATATTTTTATTATTCTACAGGGAAGCGCCTACCTTTTAAATAGATTGGCACCTTCATTAGCTTCAGATATGATTGATCTGACTTAAGGAAACAAATGTCACACCAAAAACCAAATTACAATTTTTGCAATTCTATTTAGGTATTTTGCTTTGGTAAAACTTCCAAACGTTGGCACAGCAAAAAACATGTGTAACATTTCTTTGTTGTTGTTTTTCAAACAACCTAATTGCGTTTTAAGAATTATATTCCCAAAATCAGCTTACTCATTTGCATATGCGTTTCTAACCCCCACAAATGTTTACATTGTTTGCTTTATAATAGTGTAACTCTCTTAGTTTTTAACCTAGATTTTCATCCTGGTATCACTTCAAATCTGATACAAGCTCTTCCAGATAACAAAATGTGTTCTGACATAAAACGGTTATGCTTTAATGTACATTTTATGTGAAATATGATACAACCATATACAAAAAAGCTAACTATTCAAAGCTTGTATTTTGTCATATGTGTTTTAAGTGTTGAACATTTTTTGGAAATGAATCTTTAAAAGAGAGTGTATGTTTCATCATAATTTTTACCTTTGTCCTATTTTGTTTTCACAATGAGCCGTTTTCAGTATATGTCCCATAGCACAATAAAACATTGTGAATCAACACATCAACGAAGTATAGCTCAAAAAGTAGTTTTTTATTAGTATCTTTATTGATATTTGTGTTCCATAAATAAAATTTGAAAATATCATTGCAAGAAAAATATTTTCTAGTCTGATTAGTTGAAATTGATTTTCATATTCATTGAAGCGTATGTATTGTTGTATGTGGCCTTTATAGAATTAAAGAAGTGTGAAAAACATGTCATATGATGACAAACACTCTATCGATTACTGAGTTTAACTCCAGATAACAGGATATAAGGATTGTGCAGCACTTTTGACTGAGGCTCTCTTCTGCCCCTTAGTGGTCGTCAGTGAGCACGACAAACAAAAAGGATGCAACCGAAGGTTCTCCCCATAAGCAGAGACAGTCCTTTTCTTAACCTAATCATCCATTTTCCTTTCCTCTCACAGTATTGATTAAAAAATGCTTACCTGTGAGCGAAGAGCTTTGTGAGAAGAATTACTAGGAGAAGCATTTCAAGGATTGATTTCTTCCACTCAGGCACCTGTAATGAACCTGCCTTCCTGTTCAGTGAAGCACACCAGGTCAGAGGTTGGAGCTGGCCTGTGCATACAAAGCAAGAGAAGGTCTTCCCTCCATGTTGGGCATCTGGTATAAGCAGGGGCATGCATTAAGTGCAGATGGTTGCTCCTTGAACAAACAGCAGAGAGCCTGCAGGTCATTTGTCAGTCTGCTGCCAGAGTGAAAACTATTACAATCGACCGCAGGTGTACCAGGGCGTGCATCTGCTCGAAACAAATGAAGGCAAAAATTGTCTGCAATAAACACTTACAGGAGAGCGAAGACCTACTCTAACCATCAGTGCTCAGCTTGATCTATCTCTGACCATTACTATGTTATTAGTGTTGGGGGGGTTGCAAGGTTGTTCTAGCTCCTCTTGTCATTGACAGAACGAATTGCCTGTGAGCTGAATTTCAATTGGCTCATAAAACGAAGACTTACTTCTCTTGGCAGGTGCAAAGGTTCCGACCCAATAGCTTGCACTTTTGCCTTCTGCCTGTGTGGATCTTTGCTGTCCCCCAACATACAGGTTCACAGTCTGGGGTAAACAGGGGCAGATGGAGGGAGGTAACCACTGGGGTTCCATTTGTAGGCAGCCGCCTCCACTCCAGATCTTTATTACCATTCCTCAAGCCCCATAGATTCCAAGAAAAAGGCAAGAACTCAACGTGCCTATAGAGCTCGCCCCTCATTAGAGCAGCATTTGGAGCATCAAGGGAGTACGAAACTCCCTCTGAAGTACAAATAATAAAATCTTAATGGCTTCATATGGCATTTGTGACTGCCAGTTTTCACAAACTGCAAAAGTAGAGGACTTAAAGTCAATTAACAGGCTTGGGGGAGGGGGTCTTTTTTGCACTGGCAGGTGGATGAGAGGCGTACCCACTCACTGGGCAGGTCGTCAGTAATTCATATGGCAAAAGAAACAAAAAATGCCATGCACACACACAGAGGGAAGTTCAAAGAGATCATGTAACCTAACATAGATTTTTTTTTTTGGGGGGGGGGGGGGTAGAATTAAGCCAGAGTATCTGGAGATGACCCTCCCATGAAAGTGCAAGGAGATCATGTAAACTATTTTCAAGAAGGCTCTGGCAAGGATTCAAAGCAACACTACTTAAAACTGTGCTACACAAAATATACAATATTCAGAGGATAAAGTAGTCTTGTTTAAGATGGAAGAACATCGAACAGTACTTAATGTAACAGGTGCTGCGACAGAGGGAATAATCAGTATTCCGTACAATGTCTTGGTCAGCAATAATGTCCATCTACCAGTCTCTTTTCTATCTCCACAGACAGTGAGTAGTATAGTTGTTCATTTGTGCCACAACATCTGGACATGTGGCAACCAAACCACCACTTTGTAATGTTGACGGAAGAATGTCAGCTGCCACTGCAGGTCGGTTCTAAGTCTTGAAGCTAACAAATCCAGCTTTCCTGTCCAAGCAAACTGCATTACATGTCAGTAAGGCCTGCCTATCAGCAGTACAACCAAGAACTTATTGGAGAAAAAAAGTTATATTTCTCTGTGGACATTTACTCTTCACTTAAATCTTCATTGTCAGTGTTGCGTAACAAGTGCAGTGCCAAATAAGTTGAGGCAGTTCTCTTGTTTTTTGGCCACACTAAAAGAGTAATGTGTATGTTTTTCCCCCCAATTATCTTACCCTTATAATAAGAGCACCAACAATTAATTTCAATTCAACCAATAATTTATATGTTTTTCCACTGATGGTGAATATTTTGTGTCAAACTGTTTGATATGTCTGATTTCATCTACAGCTAGCTGATCCAGTGAACATCTCCATGTTTGTTGTGCAAACCGTGTACAACGTCTCGCAGTGGCACTAGAGAAAAAGTCTGAATATCACCAAACTAAAAATTTCGTTTTAGTCTGACATTGAGATTGAGATGTTAAGGGTTGAAACACTATAAGACAAGCAAAGGAATGTTTGCACAAAGTATTACAGTCTTTTCAATTTGACACCAACACGTTTGGGAAGCCGACAGTCAATAGATCAGCAGACAGGGACTTTGCTTGGCTCTCCCGAAAATATATTGGCAGAACGTAAACCAAGAGGAAACAATGACACCTTTCATGATAGTCAACTTTAAAGAGAAGGCTTTTATCTCCTGCAGTATATTTCCCTCAGTCAACGGCAGCCTGGAAATAGAGATAAAGTGGAACCAGTGGTGGGACAAATAGAAGGAAAACAGGAATTTGTAAGCTTAAATCTTCTTTTCTGCACTGTGTCAGCAGAGGCTTTTCCTTTGCCGGAGAGGTTTAGGCAAGAGGGCGAGAGAAAACGAGCAGGAGAGGGTGGCTGGGCTCTGTCTGAGGGTCACGCTCAGTTTAGCATCGCTACAAGACCAGGAAAACCTTTTATTCCCCTTGAAAGCTTTCAGAACTGTCACACCTGCTTAGGTCTTGACCAGCACTCCCTCCTCCTCCTTGGTCACCCACACCTCTCCTGTTCTCCCAACGCCTGCCTCAGCGCTTCACAGACCTCTTCACTTCTTGTCCTTTTGGATGATCATTATATTGACCGTCTGTGAGAAGACTCGGTTCCGCAAAAGTAGAAAGACACAAAAACTGACTCGGCAGTTAAAAAATTACTTTACCTCATTGCTAAATTAAAGGTCTAGAAAGAACGACAGGTAAGATTACACTATTTTGTTTTCAATCCCTATTACCTTCAAAAAGTGCTCCCCTTTTGCCATAATTTGTTACATTTATGTAAATGAGAAACATAAAAAGTTACAAATGGACAATATCGTAGGGCCAATCCCCTCTACTGAGACAGAGACTCAATTACAGCCCCAGTCTGTGCAGATTCTGCTAAAATACAAAAGAGAGTATGAAAGATCCAATATAATTATTCACTTGGAAGCAACAAATCCCTTGAGCCTGTGGGGGGAAAAAAATCAATCTCAAACCTTATTTATAATTGAGAAGCATTACATTAAAACTGCATATATTCTGGAATTTAAAAAAAAAAACCCTATCAACTTCATCTTCTGAAAGGAAGGGTAATAGTATTTGACTTAAACTGTGTGTGAAGTACCCTCTCTGTATAATCCATACTTTTTAGATAAACACTTTGGGAATGAAAAGCTCCAATATTTAATGCATTCTTACCTGACTTAACCAGATCGTAAAACTACAGTTCAGAAGTCGGATTTGCCCTGAAATACTTTGGCATTTTTAGAAAGCAAGACTTCGTAATAATGCAAGTGAAGGCAGAAATTCCAATCTAAAGAAAACTAGGAAACTGTCGGTGCTTTCATCAACAGTTTCCGGTTTCACACTAGTCTAGTTTGGTTGCCTAAAAAGTCTACTTGACTCGTCTAAACCGTCTGGTTTGTTTGCTAAGGTGTGAATGCGCAATGGAACTCCTCCTAAAAATCTAGGT